CCACAGTTTGGACTCGTTACTTACTAACTTGGTGTACTCACGTTACCCCCTGCACCATGTGTGCAGATTCAGGCACTTTTGGTCCCAGTGGCACTCGCTGATATAGGCTTCAGGATTTAGGAGACTATCGAGTTATCTGTACGACGTTCGCAGGCCTTGACTCTCTATTTATATCCAGATGTATTTCAGTTTGTTTCGTTAAACATTGTAATAGACTGTGTTCTCCTTTAGACGCTCATGCACTCAGTGACACCTTGGGTTTGGGCTGGAATATATCGTATCTTGGAATCTTATGTTTCAAATAGTTTCTTTAAACGTGAAAAGCTTCCGTTAATGTTTTCAAACTTATTGTTGTTGTGTTGGTTTTGTTGAGTTGAGGCTGGCCTAGTTCCACGATAGGTGCCATCACGACGGGTCGAGTTTTGGGTCGTAACACCGCCGAAGGTTTCATTCCAGTTGAGCAATTGAAGGACTTCAACTTCCACGCTATCGAAGATAAATCAAACCCACAAGAAAAGTATTCTCTCATATATGCAAAGCCGCATATGCAAAGAATTGATAACTTAAAAATGCATGCTGGTTATCAACCTCCTAAGTTGCAGCAATTCGACGGCAGTGGAAATCCGAAACATGTAGTGCATTTTGTTGAAACTTGCAATAATGCTAGTACGTACGATGATTACCTTGTGAAACAATTTATTCGATCTCTTAAAGGGAACTCGTTCGATTGGTACACGGATCTCGAATTTAGTTCCATTGATAGTTGGGAGCATTTGGAGAAAAAGTTTCTCAATCGTTTCTATAACACAAGACGTATCGTAAGCATGGTTGAATTTACAAAAGTTCATCAACAAAAGAATGAGCCAGTTGTTGGCTTCATCAACTGCTGGAGGAGCCTAAGCCTCAATTGCAAATCTCGCCTTAGTGAAACTTCTGGGATTGAAATGTGCATCCAAGTCATGCATTGCGGTCTTTGTTATATATTGCAAGGCATAAAGCCTAATACATTTGAAGAGCTAGAAACTTGTGCTCATGATATGGACTTGAGTATGGCTACAAGTGAGAACCAACAATCTCCTGTCTCTGAGCCTTACGAAGAAACAGAAGTAGACGAATCCATGCATGGGGCAAGTATTCATCTGAATATGAAATCGAGGAGTCCATGCATGTCAACATGCTCCTTAACGCACGAGCTTAAACTGCAAGTTGTGATGCTCCTCAACACACGAGCCTAAACTGCAATTTATGATGTTCTTCAATGCACGAGCCTAAACTGCAAGTTACGACGTTCATTGACACACGAACCTAAAATATCACGAAGCTCCTCAAGTTCGAGCTAAACCTTCAAGTTGCAAAACTGTTCAAATTTGAGCTAAATTTTTAGGTTGAAAAGATCTTCAAATCGAGCAAGTCTTCAAGTTTTAAAGCGCCTCAAATTAGGGGAAAAAATCTTCAAGTTGCAAATCTCTACAAATTCGAGCAAGTCTGCAAGCTATAAAGCTTCTCAAATTCGAGCAAAATTTTCTTGCAAAGCTCCTTGATACGCGAGCTTAACTGGAAGTTGCTGCGCTCATTGATGCATGAGTTTGAACTGCACATTACTCCTTGTTGCACGAGTATAAACTGCCTAAAAATACTTTTTTCCTGAACTACGTAATGACTTGATCCTTTTCACCGAGGTACGCAGGCAACTTAGAATTTCATTCTGAGTTCAGTTACGTTAAAAAAGGTCTCTTTATCATGATGGCAAAGAGAAGCTGATGATGTTCTCCTCCAAAGCTCGAAAAGAGCACTATATGTATCTTTTCATCAAGTCGTGAGAAGGACGGTCTATGCATTTCTCTTTTCCAAATTGCATGAAGAGGATCGTTTACTCCGATGCTTGAAGGATGGGAAATTCCACATTCTTGCTCACCAAGCTGCAAATAAAAGTGTTACTTTAAGTGTGTGTCTCCAAACCGTAATGAGGCACGTACTTCTCTGCCAAAGCTTGAATAATAGGACGCTTCATGGACTCTTTAAATTGAAAGAAGATGTAGTTCCAAGCCAGAGCCTTAAGGTTAGGATACTCCATGACTTCTTAACCAACTTCCAGAAGAAGTTACTCCCCTCCTATGATGTAAGGATGGAATATGGTTGCTCCAAGCCTCTTTCTCACCAAGCCACAAGAAGGAGACGCACATGTACTTCTTTCTCAAGCCGCGAAAAGGAGATGAGCTAGTCACGTGCTTCTTCAAGAGAGGTGGATATACGACCAACTAGTCTCTCGCTGAAGTCACAAACCATAAAAGAAAGGCACCAAGTAATTCCAAGCGAATCATGTGGAGATCAAAGCCGTTTTGCACTCAGCACTCGGTGATAAACCTGCAAGAAAAAAATGAAGATGGAGCACACGATGCAAACTGCATGGAGTTTCAATTCAGGAGTATCGATCTTAATAAATGATGCGGCGTTTCAATTCGGCATGATGGACTACATTGACACTAATGACATGACGCATCAATGCAGCATATGCAAGCATCGCCAGCAGCACAACTATTCTAGTTTGACATGCGAAATATAGGTGCTAATGCACAAAGCTTCAACGTGTGGCTAAGTTAGGTCCTGGCCACCAATCTCCATTGCTCAAATTCTGGAAAATTGGAATTTCTTATGCTGGTGGATTTGCCTGAGAAGTTGTCTAACACATTCTTCGTCTCCTTTATAGACCATTATGCAAGATCAAGGGAGGTGTCGAGCGATTTTCTAGCAGTCGGGAAGGCGCCTCTCACCAGAGGATGAACTTTTAAAGTAGGAAATTTTGCTTGTCGCCAACGATCTCAAGATACAGGTATCATGGTCACTAAAGATCATCTTTGCTGATGGGTTTCAAGGTTCTATACGGGTGGAGAATCTGCAAAAAAAAAAAAAAAAAAAAAAAAAAAAAAAATAGTTCATGAAAACACGCAAAATTGAAGAAAATGAAGACGAACTAGCTATTTTGGGCTATCTTTCATTTCTTTGATAAATCCACCACAACTTTTAGCTATTTTGGGAAGGATTGGAGGATCTTCAAGATAGTGTTCGAATTTTCAGCTTTTAGTGTTTCAATTTGTAGTTTTTATTTTTAGCATGAATGGCTAGCTTTAGTTGGGGTTGTAAACTCTTATAGCATCAATGTCAACGCATATTTGTTTAACTTGCTTATTACTACTTGGGTTGTGATTTTCTACTTACTTTTATGCTTAACGTTAATTTAGCGATTACAAACACTAGATTGGGCCCTTTATTATCTATTTCTTTCTTGGATTAGTGGAAATTTGATTGAGTAGTTAACAAGTAGCAAGGATTCAGCATATTAAGAAATTAATAAAGCTTGATAAATGAAATCAAACTAAGAAATGGAAGATCCTACTTGGGTAATTATCAATTGGCTTTTAATGCATTCATTCGGGTTTGAAAGACTTTCTAGGGATAAGCTTGAATTAAAAAATTCTAGTGGGTAGCTAACAAAGGACCATAATCGATAATCAAAATATTTAGGCAAGCTAAGTACACACGTGAACTAATTATGGCATTTTGAGGTTATAGCCCCGGTTCTCTTTGTAAAAAACAAACCATTTTCAGTTGCACGCTGCGTGTTCGCTTTAATTCCTTTGTAAGTAATTTAGCAGTTACGGGGTGTGTTTGGTACGAAAGGATTTCCAATTTTCCCATGTTTGGTTGGCTTAAATATTTTGGGAAACATTTTCCTTATGAACTCATTTTTCTCCCATTGGAGGAAAATATTTTCCTTATCAAGAGAAGGTAAAATATTTTCCAAAACTCCTTCTCAACGTTCCCGACCCTCACCAACCAACCCACCCTACCCCCTATCTCTATAAAAGTCTCATTTTTTTTCTTTCAAATTTCAGTTTTCCATTACCACCCACCCTACTACCCCTCCATCCCACCCCACCCCACCTCACCCCCTCCGCTAAAAAAATTATTTTTATTACCGTTTTTTTTTTTTTTTGCAATTTCAAATTTCTGTTTTTCGTTTTCTACACACCCACCCCCACCTGCCCCCCCACCCGCACAATTATTTTTCTGTTTTTCTGCCCCCCGCCGAAAAAATATATTTTAAATATATTTTTTAGTTTTAGTTTTTTTATTTATCGATTTAAAGGTTCAAAATTTTACAAGTTCCAAAGTTATGAGTTCGGAGGTTTATGTGTTTGGAAGTTTACGGGTTTAGAAATTACAAAGTTTATGGGTTCGAAATTCCGCGGTTTCGAAAGTTTAGGGGTTCGTAAGTTTATGAAATTTGTGGGTTTGGAAGGTTGTTGGTTTGAAAGTTTATGGCTTCATGTTTATTTATTTAAATTATTTATGAATACTCTTGAGAAGTCATTTTCCTTAATTTGCGTACCAAACACCGAAAAATGAATAAGATTACTACTCCCTCTGATTCATATTATTTGAGATAGTTTGACTCGGCACGGAGTTTAACAAAAAAGAAGAAGACTTTTGAAAGTTGTGGTAAGCTTAAGGGGTAAAAGATTTGTGGGGCCATGTCATTTGTGTGGCTATAAAAGCTTCTCATTAAGGGCAAAAGTGGTAAAATGAAGAGTTTAATATTGAATTATTTCCAAATTTAGAAATGTGTCATTTATTTTGGAACAGACTAAAAAGGAAAGTAGCTCATTTAATATGAAACGGAGGGAGTACTTGTTTTTCAAGAAACAATTTCTTGGAAAACATTTTCCGTTATACCAAACACACCCTTAGCTATAACTTTAGAAGTAATTGCAGTCAACTCTAATTTATTGTTTGGACTTACAATAGGAATCATCAAGCTTGCACTCATTTGGATACCTTAGCACACACCATACTCATTTATTCGACCCCAACCTTTGTATTTATTATTGCTGCTAGTCTGCTACCGTACTACTTTCATTGCGGGAGTAGGATCGGACGTCACTAACACACAGTAGAAAGGGAAACAAGAAAAGAAAAGGCCAATTGTGTGCATAATGAGATTATGGGCGAATTCCCATCTAGTTAGGCATAGATTTACTGTCAATATAGATTTGTAGAATAGCGGGGGAAATATACAACAATCACAAAACTTTGGAGTAGATCGCTTGTGTAATATTATCAGTAGCTAAGTAAAATAAAATGTAAAGTTTAGAGAAACTAGTTCTCTTACATCTGCAATGTATTTGCATCATTCCTTTAGTCTATAAGTTGGAATAGCCATCAAAGGCTTTTCTTTGCATGTTACTAACCCAAACTGCTCATCAATGTCTAAATCAAGAGGCTGCATACCATTTGGAATCTCCCAATCAAAGCAATGCACCAATTGTGCAACCACAAGGCTAACAATGGTAATCCCCAACTGCATTCCAGGGCAGCTTCTTCTACCAGAGCCAAATGGTAAAAGTTGAAAATCACGTCCACGAATATCTACGTTGCTCCCAACAAATCTCTCTGGGAAAAACTTCTCAGGCTCAAGCCAAACATTTGGATCCCTCTGAATTGCATAACAATTTATCATGATTCGGGATCCCTTTTGTATGTGAAAGCCATCGACTATACAATCTTCCATGGCCTCATGATGCATTATTGGCACTATGGAATGCAGCCTCAGGCCCTCTTTTACAACCATATCTAAGTACTTCAAATTCTCCAAGTCTGATTCTTCTACCATCTTTTCATTTCCTACAACTTCTTCCAACTCTTTTTGGAGTTTCTTCATCACATGAGGGCGCCTAAGAAGCTCTGTCAATATCCATTCTACTGATGTTGCTGAAGTGTCAATTGCAGCCATAAGCATGTCCTGTATAGAAAAGGGTTAAATAATTAGTGAAATAAGCAATAATCTTAAAATTTGTGATTTCTTGAGCTTATATTAGTATGATAAAATGGGATAGCAGTACATACCAAGAGGATAGCTTTTATATGTCGACGGTCAAATTGAAACTCTGCTTCTCCTGATTGCATAATCTCCATCATGGTGTCGACAAAGTCCTTGGTTTGTTTCTCGTCATGAGACTGAACGTGATCATCGATAATCTTCTCAAGAAACTCATCAAACACCTTTGAAAGATCTTTGAGCTTGCGAGTGAGTCCCTGGAGATCAATAACACCAAGAAAGGGGAAAAAATCTCCAAGATTTGGTGTTGCTGCTAAATGCACAACATCTTGAACTACAGCTTTGAATCCCCTTTTATCCAAGTCCGCATCCATATACTTCTTTCCGAATACCATTAAGCAAGTCAAGTTGGCATTCAAGGACGTAATCTTTGCACTAAGATCAACAGCAACGCAATCATGAGCTTCCCGTTTAAGTGAATCAATCAGAAGTTGAAGTTGTTGCTTTCTCATGGACTCAAATGAATTGATCTTATGATTACTCAAAAGGTGCACGGTGCACAATTTGCGCATATTACGCCAATATGGTCCGTACTTTGCAAAAATCAAATTCTTCTGGCCATAAGCCATATACTGAGATGCCTCGTGGTGAGGCCTACTAGCAAATATGTGATCATATGTCTTGAGGACTTTCTCGGCTGCATCAGCAGACGAGGCAACAATTGTAGGTACTAATCCCAATCGCATATACATAATAGGACCATGTTTCTTGGCTAGTTTTTGTAAATCTTGGTGTGGATTTTTACCTAACAAATGAAGATGTCCTAAAATGGGAAGCCCTTTTGGACCTGGAGGAAACCTTTTTCTCTTCTTGATGTTTAGCAGCTCATATAAGGCATATACTAATAGACCAACTATAAGTGTTGCCCATGTCAAAGCCATGGCTCTTAGGACTTTGTTACCTTAATTCTAAGAGCTCTACTGCAAGATGATAACGAATATATACTATTGTTATTTTTCTCCTTTATATTTCTTATGAAAAGGATCAAGAAATCTGAATTTATATGGCTGTCAAAATTGAAAAGGGCAAATAAAAAAGGGAAAGAAAAGGTTGAACGCAACCAATCCACCAATATGAAGCTTCTCATTAACTACTGACTTGACCTTTGAATCAGTAGTGAGATGAAATTTCATTTGAATATGCGGCCATGTGTGAAACAAGATAAAAAGCACTCACAACCTGCAGTAGCAATTTCTTTTGACTTAGAATAAAGGACTAATTCTACCACAGTGACTGATTGACTTGGAAATTTCCTAGCATTCTTTGATGGACTCATTGGTTGATTTTTAATTCTTAGGGCCCGTCTGGCCATTAAAAATTTCACTTTTTTCGGAAAATTTTTAGTTCTTTTTGAAGTTGGTGTTTGGCCATGAAAATTTCAAATTTCACTTGAAGTTGAATTTTGAATTTTTCGGAAATTTGGAAAAAGCCAAAAAGCTGTTTTTTAAAATTTTCACTTCAAATCACTTACAAAATTCAAAAACAGCTAAAAATTGTATTTATATCCAAACACACATCTAATTTTCAAATATCATGTTCACTTTAAAAAAAAAAAAAAATCATCTTTTCCCGAAATTTCACAATTCTTATGTCCAAATGCCCACTTAGTCTCCCACTTACCAGTCAAAGAAAGGCTCTGTCAGAATAGTGGATTTTCCTGATTAGAGGGTTAATCTACCTACATTTATTTCATGATATAAGGTCCACTAATTGTCAAATTGAATTTGGAGTCAAATTCAATTATTGGTCACTTCTGTACTTCTCTTTTTCTTGTCCAAAATGCATTCCAGAATCCAGAGATGAACGCTGCTATGATAGTTCTTCCTTCTTGGACTGGGAATTGAACAATCTAATTGGCCCCATAGTTAGACAGGTGTTGCTGGTACCTCTTTGAATAATTCAAATAAGAGAAATGCACTTTTAGTATGTAATCTATTGGACTCGTGCATTTAACATAGGGAGAATACATATAAACACCCCTCCAACCTGTCCTGTTTTTTCTATAAACTAGTTTCTCGGCATGTCGTTGCACGTGTACACCGAGTTATGCAACATATGAACATAACTTTTTTACAAAATAAAGCTTTGAATAAATAATTACACATGAATGAATAAAGTACAAGCTAGTTTATGTGACTGATCAACGTGGATAATCTAAACCTACGTACGAAGATTAACAATCAAAGTTTAATCAAATAATTGACTTTGGATATGAAGGCAACAACTTTTAGTCTCATGACTTCTAATGCAACATAACTATTTTTAAATTTTTAAAAGTTAGGTATTTAATTTTGCAATATGAAAAAAATAATAATTAAAAGTCCCATCAGTAAACATTTTCAACATACAGGAACATATACATTATCAATTTTGGAAATCTGCTTTATTGAATTATTTGATTGATTAGCATATTACTAAATAGTCGAACCATATCAGAAAAGATTGCCCCATTGCAATCAGAGTCCAGAACTTATTTGTGGTTCTTTTGGACACAAGAGACCGACATATATGTAAAAAAATTGTTACATATCTACATAAAATGCTCTTTTTAAAGAGCGCTATACTTTAACGTCCGTTTGCGACGTTAAGGCATAGCACTATTTAAAAGAGCGTTTTATGTAAAATGCTTTTAATAAACGCGATGCACCTGTTATGTAGACCCACCAATAAGTCTCATGCGCTTAACTGGCATAACAATAATTGAAATGTGTAAAACGCATTTTAAAAGAGCGTTATACCTCAAAAAATTCAACCGCCCGAGCTAGGCATTACCTTACTTAAAGGCGTTAACGATTTTACAAAAAATCATTCCAAAAAATTCCTAACTCATGTAAAAATTTTCTTCTTGTTAAATTCGCAAGCATTTTCTCATAATGTCTGAAGAGCGAAAAGTAAGGGTTTAATTATATTGGGGGGGGGGGGGGGAGGTTGTGGTGGCGAATAACTCTGTGAGCTATAGTTTATCTCCACAGAGTCATGTTAAGTTTTCACTTACAATGGAGTACAGTATACTGGTATCGTTGTTATGTAATAAAATGAGGTTGAGCAAACATACGGTGAATCTTAAAATAACCGGAAGATATCCGTATTATGTGGCTCCGCAAGGTATTGCTTGTTACGCTGAGTTTAACATCGAGGTTGATGAAACTCTAAGAGATTTTTTGGGGACTCCGGATGAATACCTGGAACATATTTTGATAAAAATGTTGGAAAAGTACGTGAAGGTTAAAGGCGTTCACAATAATGAGGTCGCACAAAGTAGGGATAACCCTCAATTATCAGGTGGTTATTTTGGAGCAGTTTTAGCCGAACAGGTTCCGGCTGAAAGAGTTTGGCCGGATCTAACCTTATCTACACGGGCGAATGAGGAGCGAGGAAATAAGTTCTCTCCTACTTTACATAATCCATAAGACGACTGGTAAACTTCAATTTTTCTTTGTGTTACGATGTTTATATTTGTTGTATTGAATTTGTATTAACACTCATATATTCCACAGGAGGTACCGTCCAGATATGCATTTTACAAGTTATGAACCCACGCCCAGTTGGAATATGCGTAGTTTTGGTGTGTTGGATCACGGTGGTCCATCCGGGAGTCATCACCAACAGGATAATGTCCATCATGGAATGTCAACACATTACGACTTGTAAGTAAGGTGATATAGCTATATATAAAGTATTTAACAATTTGAGTAGCTTATTATTTTGTTGTTTGTGCAGTGAAAACGAGCAACTTGATAGTCCTGTCCTCGCTCAGTTGCCCGTAGATGGTGTATTTACTCGGGACTTGGCAGATGCGCAGAGTCAGGAAGATAATAGTGATTATGACAACAATTCTGATGAGTCTGGAGATGACACACCCTTCCCTGACGAGGGTGATGAGGAGGATGAAGGGAATGTCGAACCTGATTTGACGAGGGAGCATCATCCACCTCCCGTTAGACCAAGAGTGTACGAGTTCCACATGCCGTTTCATTCAAACCATATTCCCTACCTTGATAATTTGCCAAGTATGCCGGATGTGGTTTCCTTCACAAGGATTTTGACGAAATTCGGACAGCAATGTGGGATAAGTCTAGACCAACGGTGCTGGCAAAGGGCATGCTTTTTCCTGATAAAGTGCACCTAAGCAGGGCGGTGAAAATATACAGCGTAAAAGAGTTCCGTAAGATAATTGTATGGAAGTAAAGTTCGGATGTATACAAGGTTGTTTACCGTTGATAGTTTACGGGTTATCATTGGATGCTGCGTGCGAGCAAGAAGAAAATAGGGTTGTGGTAAGTGGGTAAATATATTGGCACCCACAATTGTGAAATGGACACATTCAATGGGAAGGACTTCAACTTGGATGTTGACTTGATTTCTCTTCAACTGATTCCACACATTGAAACATCCATAAGGTACAAGATCAAAGAGTGTATTACATCCGTCCACACCGTAAATGAAGCCAGCAGGTTGTGTTCTTGTGGGAAATGGTCCATCTACCACATGCCGTGCTCACATGCCATGAAGTGCTTTCAACATACAGGTTTAGGGACAACCAACTATGTTGATAGGCAATACGCTGTTAATGCATACATAAACACATATAGTGGGCAATTGCAGCCAGTGGGTGCTGAGCATTATTGCCGCCGGAACCATTTAAAATGGTGTGTAACAAGGACTATTTGCGTAAGCTACAAGTGTAAAAAAGAACACGTATACGGAACTAAATAGATGTTGGTGATACCATTTACGCATGTAAATGTGGCATATGCTCGCAAACTGGACACGACCGTCGTAAATGTCCTTCAGGTAGTTTGGGGGGCGGTGGTAATCCAGCTCATGGTGGAAGTTCATCTGATATGCCCAACTATCAAGGATACACGTAGTGTTTTGTTTTCGTATTGTGGTTCTAATAAGTGTATGTACTTGTTTATGTTGCAAGATATATCAAATAAAATTATGTTTTCATTGTTGTTAAATCTTATTGATATTTAACATTTTTCAGTTGAATAAATTAATGAATTTCTCCGTCCCGTTCATGTAATAAAAAATAGTATTGGATTAAAAAAAGGAAAATTTTTACGTTCACTTTTGAGTTTCACTCTAAAATTACTAGAAAATTACACTGTCAGAGGAGGAAGATGTTTGATAAATAAGTGAATATATATATATATATATATATATATATATATATATATATATATATATATAGCAAGGTTACATACTATGTTATGTGTATTTTCTTGTCGATCTGGAAAGCTGCCCGTCTACGAAAAAGTTATTTTGTATCCGAAAGAATCTTTAACACGCGAAACATAGCGCGATTAAATACTACGTTATGTGTGAGCATATATAGCACGGTTAAATACTACGATATGTGTGTTCTCTTGTCGATCTGTAAAGCTGCCCGCCTGCAAAAAGAATCTTTAACACGCGAAGCATAGCGCGGTTAAATACTACGTTATGTGTGAGCATATATAGCACGGTTAAATACTACGTTTTGTGTGTTGTCTTGTCGATCTGAAAAGCTGCCCGCCTGCGAAAAAGCTGGTTTGTATCCGAAAAAATCTTTAATACGCAAAGCATAGCGCGGTCAAATACTACGTTATGTGTGTTTCCTTGCCCATAAATAACAGGCGCATTCTAGTTATTTTCTGCACTTAACCATAACAAATAGCAAAACTTTTCATAAAAGCAGGGTTCTATTCGCTTTAACAAATGTCTGAACGGATTTATGAACCAATGTGCTAGTGTGGCAAACGCTGTATGTTGGCAGACTGTTGGGATGATGGTCAAGTTGGACGCAGATACTGGATGTGTGTGAACAGGTTTGGAGGCAACAACGGAAATTTTTGCAATTTTGAGGTATGGTTTGAGGAACCCTGTAAGCAGGAATGCTACCAAGAGTCTTTGTAGTATTATCATGATTTGACCAAAAAATAGTGGGAATATGAACGAGAATATAAATGAGAAATTGCGGAGTTAAAGGAGAAACTAAAAGAGGCGGAAGA